TCACATATGTCTGAAAAGTGATGTGCTTTTGTCTGTGGCTGTAGGGCAGGGGTGGGCAAAATGCAGCCCGGGGGCTGGATGCAGCCTGCCAGGCCATTTTATCCAGCCCATGGGACCCCTAAAAATTTAGAAAATTAATATTAATCTGCCCTGGGCTGCCTGTCATGTGGCCCTTGATGATTTGCCAAAACTCAGTAAGCAGCCCTCTGCTCAAAATATTTGCCTGCCCCTGCTGTAGGGGAAAGGACTAGAAGCAATGGCCTCAAGAAGCAGTAGGGAAAATTTTAGGCTTGAGATTATGAAGACTCTCACTTTGAAGCTAGTTAAGCATGGGAACAGGCTACATAGAGAGGTTGTGGAACCTTTCCATCCTTGGAAATTTTCCAAAGCTGATTAGACAGATTCTTGACTAGGGTGGTTTAATATGGAGTGGCACTGCCTTGAACAGGGGGTTGGACTAAATCAGAGAATCATAGAAAATTAGGGTCAGAAAGGACTTCAGGAGGTAATCTAGTCCAATCCTGTGCTCAAAGCAGGATCATTCCAGCTATATCATCCCAGCCAAGGCTTTGTCTAGTCAGGTCTTAAAAACCTCCAAGGATGGAGATTCTACCACCTCTCTGAGTAACCTGTTCCAGTGTTTTACTACCCTCCTAGTGGGAGAGTTTTTCTTAATATCTAACCTAAACTTCCTTTGCTGCAACTTGAGACCATTGCTCCTTGTTTTCTCATCTCTCACTACTGAGAGCAGTCTAGCTCCATTCTCTTTGGAAGCTCCCTTCAGGTAGTTGAAGGCTGTTATTACCCCTCTGAGTTCTCTTCTCTAGACAAAATAAGCCCAGTTCTCTCAGTCTGTCCTCAGAAGTTATGTGCCCCAGCCCCCTAACCATTTTCATTGACCTCTGCTGGACTCTCTCCAATATGTCCACATCCGTTCTGCGGTGGGGGCACCCAAAACTGGACACTGTACTCCAGATGTGGTTTCAGCAGTGCTGAATAGAGGGGAATAATCACTTCCCTTGTTCTGCCATCAGTGTTTGTACTATTCAAAGCCAGTATGTCATTAGTCTTCTTGGGAACAAGGGCTCGCTGTTGGCTCCTATTCAGCTTATTGTCCGCTGTAACCCCCAGGTCCTTTCTTGAAGAGCTGCTACTGCTTAGCCAGTCAGTCCACAGCCTGTTTTGGTAATTGGATTGTTTTGTCCTAAGTGCAGGACTTTGCACTTGTCCTTATTGAACCTCATTTGGTGCAATCCTCCAATTTGTTTAGATCTCTCTGAATCTTGGCCCTACCCTCCAGGGTATTTACTACTCCCCACAACTTGGTGTCAAATGCAAACTTGCTGATGGTGCACTCCATCCCATCTTTCAGGTTCTTGATGAAGATATTGAACAAAACCAGCCCCAGGACTGTCCCTTGGGGCACTCATTTGATACCAGCTGCCAGCTAGACATTGAGCCATTAATTATTACCCTTTGAACCAGTTTTCTATTCACCGTACACTCCATTCATCCAACCCATACTTTCTTAGCTTGCTTGGGAGACTATCAAAAACCTCACTGAAGTCGAGGTTTGTCACATCCACAGGTCTCCCCACATCCACAGAGCCAGTCATCTCATCATAGAAGGCAATCAGGTTGGTCAGGCATGACTTATTGTTGGTGAATCCATGCTGACTGTTCCTCATCACCTTCTCATACTCCAAGTGCTTGGAGATGGATTCCTTGTGGACCTGATCCGTGATTTTTTTTCCAGCGATTGCGGTGCGGCTGAATAGTCTGTAGTTCCCTGGATCTTCCGTCTTCACTTTCTTAAAAATGGACACCATATTTGCACCTTTTCAATTGTCCGGGACCTCTCATGACCTCCATGAATTTTCAAAGGTAATAGCCAGCAGCTCTGCAATCACATTGGCGAGTTCCTCCAGCACCCTCACGTGCATTGCATCCAGCCCCGTGGACTTGTACCCATCCAGCTTTTCTAAATAGTCCATAACCTGTTCTTTCACTACTGTTGGCTGCTCACCCTCTCCCCAAACTGTGCTGCCAGATGTGGTAGTCTGGGAGCTGACCTGGCCTTTAAAGACTGAGGTGAAAAAGGTATTGAATACTTCAGCCTTATCTGTCAGTAGGTTGCCTCCCCCATTCAGTAAGGGGCCCACCCTTTCCCTGATCTTCCTCTTGTTGCTGACATACTTGTAGAAACCTTTCTTGTTACCCTTCACATCCCTTGCTAGCTGCAACTCCAATTGCATTTTGGCCTTCCTGATTTCATCCTCCTGGTCTGGTGGTCTAACAGACTGCCATCACAACATCACCCTTGTTCCTCTCTCTTCTGACCCTAACCCAGAGATTTTCAACAGGCCTATCTCCAGTTTCATACTGGAGCTCTGAGCAGTCCTTCAGTTCTCTTACATAAAGCACAACTCCTCCTTCTCTTCCCCTCTGCCTGTCCTTCCAGAACAGTTTATACCCATCCATACAGTGCTCCAGTCATGTGAGCTATCCCACCAAGTCTCTGTTATTCCAATCATGTTATAGCTCTGTGACTGCAAGAACTTGCAGTTCTTCCTGCAGTTTTCCAGGCTCCGTGCATTTTTGTGTACAGACACCTGAGGTAAGTAGCCAATTCCCCAACTTTCTCAGGAAGAATGAGAAGGCCTCCCCTGTTGGCCTCCCCTGTTGCCCACTCCTGCTTGTGCTTTCTCCAGGTCTCCCAATTCCCCACTTACTTCAGGGTTTTCGTCTCCATCCCCCAGTGAACCTGATTTAAAGCCCTCTTCACCAGGTTAGCAACCCTGTCTGTGAAGATGCTCTTCCTTCTCTTCATCAAGTAGATCCCAAGGTCTCTTCCAGTCCTACTTTCCTATGATTCTGTGTTAATTGCTGGCCTGGATTTTTGTGCCTCTTCAGAATGGGTTTCCTGCTGTACCCCCATACACCTGTGGGTTTCAAGTAGACAAGCTGATGCATGAATGTAAGGAACATGCTTGTGATGAAATTAGTCATTTTGTTCCTCTCTGTCATAGAATCCAGGAATCCCGGGTCTAACAGCTCAGAGAAGAAGTGGACTTTTCCAGAAACCTGTGTCCCAGTTTTATGGGCATCTTATTCAGGGGTCATGGGAGAAGGGTGGGGAGTGGGGAAAGAAGGAGGGTTGAATCTACTTCCAGTCCCAGAAGGATGTTTCTGTTGAAATGATTGGTGTATATATGGTCAGAGTTACCAAGGCAGACATACAAATTGCCCTATTTGGAATTTAGAGTTAACTCCCATTTCAGTTGTAGTTTCCCAGGAGGGGCAGTACTGAAGCACAGTGACATGACTTTCCTAAACTCTGTGGCAGAGAAATATAATTTGAAAAAGAAAATTAAGCTGAAAATATGTAGAAATGGAAAGGACTGTCACAGGTGGGCAGATCAGAGAAGTTCAGCTAGTACTGGCCCCATCCAAGCCCTGCTTCACATTGAGCCGTACTGGCAGCTTCTTTTCTATATCCAGTGTCCAGTGTGTGTAGCCGTGATCCTCTTGGATATTACAATGGCTCGCTGGCTGTTACGGAGACTGGGTCAGAATGCCTGAAATGGGCAGAGTTCCCCGATTACATCCAGCAGTATCCAGACCGGGGCTTAGGGGACCACAACTACTGTAGGAATCCAGATGGGGGGACTACACCCTGGTGCTTCTACCGGCTTCCCTCTGGAGGAATTGACTGGGCCAGCTGTGACTGTAATCATGGTAAGGACATTTTCAGCATTTCTCTTGAGGTCTGGGTGCGCCATCCAGGGTTGGGGTGGAGAGAGGTATGTGTACGTGCACGCTTGTAATGTGTGTTCTATAGAAATGCAAACAGCATGGGCCTGGGACTGAATGAGATGAGGGTAGCATGATGTCTCACCAGAATATGATTCCCATTTAGGCCACTAAGGACTTGACTGTGAGAAAAAAGAATGGCAGCGTAAGATAAAGCAAGATTTTAAACCAGGGTAGTTATACTAGCATACCCTCCCATGTGGTTATTCTTATTCTGGTACAAAGGGGGCTTTTTCTGATTTAGCTTATGTTGCTTTGGAAATGGGTTAGGCTCACTTTTAAAGAAGTCTGAAGTCTTATTCCTGAAGAGAAGTGTCTGCAAGGGGAGTTTTACTTGGATAAGTATAGCTATTTAACTATCCTGGTATAATGAGACCTGTGTTAGCAGAGGAATCACCCCTGTGGACAAGCATATATAAAAGAACTTGGCATATTTTACTCTGAGCAAGCTTGAAAAATTAGGCTGTTAGCTAACAAAGTGTGTTACATAGCATAAATGTTTTTAGAATCTGGCCCTTATTCCAGTGCCTAAGCGGAAGCAGAGGTCCTTAGAATCTGCCCCCGTCTGGGGGGACGCACCCTTAAAAATCAGACGCCCTTTTCTCCCGTTTCCACAGTTGCACTGCAGAACAGTTTCCATTCTATTATGGAACTGTATTGCAACATGCTTTAAAAATACCATTTTAACACAGCTGCCCAATGTGCAGGCCTCCTGGTACAGATGTTTTCAGATGGGGCTTCCTTTAAGATGGACCCTTTGTGCCTTCCCCTCCCTCACTTTATTACATGTCTATGCCTGAAAGCCACATCCGTTAGAGTTAGCATCCAGCCCAGAGCTTCTGGGTGACTCTAGCCCAGTGCTCAAATGGATGGGACAGAGGTAGGACTTTCCCAGTCCATAACTTGGAGTGGGAAGATTGGCTTTGGCGTCAATAGCAGGGATCAGCATTGATGTGAAGGGAGTTAGTTTTGGCCTCGTCTCTCTTCTGCTGCAGTTACACTGCTGTAACTATTTCTGCCCCTGCTGGTGGTGCCAGTGGCCCCTCATGGGTGAGGCAGTCTGCAGTAGCTATTCCGAGGTCCTGACTGGCTCTGCTCTCAGGTGCAAGTTCCAGTGGTTGAGGATCCTTAGGGCCCTTTTTATGTGTGGAACACAAAGCCTGGAACAAAGGTGGAAACCTAGACTTATCCCTGTCTCTCAGAGGGCACAGAGCTGAAGGCAGAACCTAGGCTTTCTGGCCCCCAGAACCCTGCTCTGTACCAGCAGTTCCCAAACTTTTTAGGTGAACAGGCTGCTGCCAAATATCAACATTTCTCATGGACCTCTGTGAACCTTGACCATCAAACTTTTAATTGAAAAGTGGGCAGTCCTGTAACCCACTTTCCTCAGTCTTGTGGACCAGTTTGGGAACTGCTGCATTAAACAACCCTCACTTTCCAAAGAAAGCAGCAAAGGCTGCTTCTCCTACAAACAGCCAGGACTGATGTGTGGGTAACATGAAATGTGGGACTTCTTCATAGAGAAGTCACGCATAATGGTTCCAGCAAAACAAGGAGGAACGAAGCTGAGTCCAGCCCACCCAGGGCCCATGACAGTAAGGTGTCTTTACACCTTACTGTTTCCACACGTCCTTAGAGGTCTGTTTGACTGGTATTGGTGTAGCACTCAGATTCATCTCTGTTACAGACCCCACTAGTTTAATTAAAGAGTTTGATGGCCTCTCTCTTTTGGAAGGTGCTGTGCGGCTGGCAGAAGGTGGAAGGGTGGAGTTCTACTTTAGTGGGCTGTGGGGCAGCATCTGCGCTGATCATTGGACAGACTGGGATGCCAGTGTGGTCTGCCGGCAGCTGGGACTCAGGTGGGAATGCTGGAGTCTGAGGGCAGGGATTTCCTGCAAATGGGACCCGGGAAAGCATGGCCTCTGCTTGCTCAGAGACTTGATCCCTGTGATAGAGTGGGGATGAGTTTCTCAATCTAGCCTGAGTTTGCTGTTTTCCAGTCTGTTAGCAGTGCTGTACCCTGCTGTTTTCCCTTCTATTGCCACTACCTATGTCCTATCCTTTGGTACGTGCAAGAATGGCTTTGGCTATTAAACTTCAATGACGTTCAGGTGACTATGTCCCAACCCAAGTAGGTAGAAGATAGAGTCCACATAGAAGGATGGGCTTTGCTAATTCATATTGACAACCTGGGACCCTTATAAAGGTCCATCTGTCAAACTCCCAACCCATCTTTTGCTACAGACGGAAGGGTGAAAATCCTACTGGCACACCCCCACTGCTGTAACAGGCAAGAAACTGCTCACTCTTCCTCCTATAGGCTTGTTCCTGTGCTTGCAAAGCTGCAGACTTCCTGTAAAGAGGAGGCACCTGCATTACCTATATGAATCCAGTGAGATTCCCCTCTTCCAACCCTCCTGCCCTGCTGCTGCTTTGAAATGGGGTGACTCTCTTTCTGCCTCAGGCTGCTTCAGATGCCTGGTAGAGGGTGGGCAGTCACAGGTGCCTATTTGACTTCTGCCTCTGAGAGGAGGCAGGCCACAGATTTTCAAGGTGAAGGTGTGACATGGATATCCCTTTCCCCCTTTGACCTTGATACTGGTGCTAGAGCTGCTGTAACCCTTTCCAGATGCTGTTGTTACCCTAGATGTGGCCCCAGCCTCTGACAGCAGACAGAATGGGGTTTCCACCTGCAAGAAGGAAGGAAAAGATCAGGGATTCCCCAAACATCCATAGTTAACATGAAAATAATGTTTCCTGTAATCAGAGGCTATGGCTGGCCATTCATCACCCCAGTTTATGATCACTGAGGGCCAGTGGAAACTGAGTGCAGCTGCTGCTTAAGACACTGCTGCAGCTGGTGGGCCAAAGATGAGCAGAACTAGTTCTGCTCATGTAACAGTGTTTCGCAAAGCTTCTGCAGTTGCCTGGCAAGGCTTGCAAGCCATCCCTTAAGCAGCTTTCCAAACCCTTCCCAGACAGCGACTCCATGTGGTGGCTGAATAAACAGTTCAGATTCCTTCTCTCAAGCTGACAGGATGATGATCCATATCCTTTTTTGACTGAGGGTCCTTGTCCTTCACTTAATGCACCCCCAGACTGAGAACCTAGGTCTGACCGACATGAGTTGACAAACTTCTCTCGCTTCGTACTCAATTGCTGTCATGACAGGCTGATCCTTTCCCTGGACCCCATCTGTTGTCACAGATGGCATATCCTCTTGTCCTGATGCATAGGTAATGCATGGGAGGACACAGGAGAGCATGTGGTCCCCCTGAGATTGGCCACCACTGGCTTCTGCAGGCAGTTGCCAACCCCTGCCCGCCCCCTTGCTGCCAACGTGGCCACTACTGGCTGTGGGCAGTCCCCACTTGCTACTGCCGACAGTGTGGACAGCAGCGGTAGGCGGTCTCTGCTCACTGCCCCCTACTCGCCCCCTCCACCACTGCGGCAGTCCCTGCTTGGCACACCTTCATTGCCAATGTCACTGTGGCCACCTGCAGGCAGTCCTTGCTCGCTGCTGCCACACCACCACCACCGCCACAGCCTATGGGTGGCTGCTGTGCCCCACCCAGCCTGAGGAGACGCATGTCATTCACAGCCTGATGGCTTTACATCTTCCACAGCAATTTCTGGTAATGGGGAAAGGTCACTGTCTGCTTGTGATGTTTTGTGAAGCTCTGATGGGGAGCCCTGAATGCAGGCCCTGGGAGGTGGGCTTGGTATGGGTACAGCATGCTGTGGCAAGGGTCCAATTCAGGCCACAGCAGAGATCTCAGATCAGAGAAACTGAGTGAGAATATGAGACAGCAGAAAGGGAGGCTGGGGATGTGGGCAAGGCCAGTTGTTTGCACTCTCATTACTTTCTCCTTTATCTCAGTGAGATTGGGACCGCTGGGAAGAAGAGCCACCCTGGCTTGTGGCCACTTCCCCTCCATCTGCAGTCAGCAAACTGCCGTGGCAATGAGCAGGCCCTGCTGCAGTGTGGCTACCAGAAGGCTGTGTCAGGAGCCTGTCACCAGGGCAGTGCAGTGGCAGTTTGTGTCCCTCCAGAAGGTAAGTACAAAGGGAAGTCCTTGCCCATGAGGGCCATATGGCCCAGTTCCCAGCATCACCACTGAGATGTAAAATCCCATATGGTAAAGTTGTGAGGACAAAAGAGATGACCAGGCTCTGCTCACATTTTTTACCACTACAGAAAATGGCTTCTGTTTCCACAGAAGGCGTGACCAGGTTCGTCCAGCTCTGAGCACCAGAGCAGGATGCAGGGCTGGAGAAAGAGCCGCCCCAGTTCTACAAACCATTTAAATGGCAGCACTTACCAGCCCCTAGCTCCTTGTGGGGTACCTTACCCCTGCTCCCCAACCTGGGCCTCTACCTCCAGGTAGCAAAGTCCCTCCACACTGTTGTCCCTCAAATGCCTGTGTCTTTTTTGTTCCATCATACAGTCTCTAGTGTTTGAGTTTCACAGGTGAAAATATGTTGGCTGGGGAGAAAAAAGGCAGGGATGGAGGCATGCCTGAAACTCCTGTTATCGGAGGTTGTGCCTGGCTCCCCAGCTGTCAGATAAGCTTTCCTTCCCTCTGTTTTGCTCTTTTTCCTTTTCCTGAAGAGCAGGTGTAGGGACCCCGCTGCGTCTGGTTGGGGGGAAGGCAAGCTTTGAGGGACGAGTGGAGGTCTACCATGATGGTGAGTGGGGCACCATCTGTGACGACCAATGGGACAACAGGGATGCTGAAGTGATTTGCAGGCAGTTAGGACTCAGGTAATTTCCTTTCTTTTACTTTCTGTCTGGTGATAGGGGTGGGGAGACTTAACTTAAGAACTGCCACCCTGGATCAGAACTGTGGTCCATTTAGGTCCGTAAGCTCTCGCTGCCAGCTACCTCAGAAAAATGGCCAAGAAAATCTGTCATGGACCATTGCAGAACCTACCCCCAGGGAATTTTCTTCTAGGGTTCTTGAATTTTGGCTGCTGTAACCCTGGATGTTCTCATCATACATGTGAAAATATCTGGATCTTGTCAGAATACCCCCAGGCTCCTGGCCTTGGTGATAGTTCACAGCAGTGAGTTCAACTTGTGAATGGTGCCTGTTCCCTGTGACAGTTCTGAAGGCAGGTTCACTGACTGTCCTATTGGTCTTCTGGGGTGAGAGTGGGAAATTGGGAATTCCAGTTGACCCTCCTCTCTGCCGTTCATGTATGGACACTGCTGGGTGCTGAAGACTGTGGAAGCCCGTGTCCATACAGAGGTGCCTCCTGGGGTTTAACAGCCTGACTTTAGCCTCCCTTTTTTACATCTTGATTCTGGGTTTTGTGTGTATAACCACCAAACCTTCAGAGCTTTGCACATCGCTTTTGCCAGTGCCTGCATCTACATAAGACACTGACTGTGCAATAACCTGAGTTACTGTGCAGTAGGGCTGTGTGAAACTTCGACAGCCATTTCATTTTGGAGGTGTTTCAGCTCATTTCAGTGGCCAAAACACTGAATCGGAACAGAAGGCTCTGAAACGAAACCATCCAAAACGTTTCAAATGTTTTGGAGGCGGGCTTGCAGGGAAACACAACCTCAGAAGAAGGGAAGGGACAGGACTGCTCTGAATTGACATCTGTAGCTATCCAGTGTCTGCAATCTGTCCCTGAGGTCCCTTCCAGTCTCAGAGCTCTGGGGGAGGGACGGAGAAAGAACATATAAGGCTGTCTGTGAACTAGTCTCTGCCTTCTGTGAGATCTGTCTCTTGCAGCACGAGCAGCAGAATGCAGCATCTGAAGGGTCTAAGTTGGCAGCAGTCTGTTGCTACTAAGTTGTAGCCTGCCATTAGCCAATCCTTTCCCACTTACCCTTGCCTACCATCCCTATCGTTAATCCCTTTCAAATATTTCTTCCCCCAAAATCCTGTTTGTTCTTGTTGGGTTTTTTTTTTTTTTACCTCAAACAAAAAGAAAGCTGTGCTTTTACCTGGCAGCGTCTCATCACTGTGCAGGAAAGTACTACACATTTACACAGATGCACATTTTCCAGCACACCAAACATGAAGTGTGCTGGAAAGGCAGGTGCCCAGTCTTCTAGCAGGGGGGCAGAGGGAGAGCTGCAAGTTCCACCCCCACACCAACCATAGATGCATCCTCTTCCCTAGCAGCCGTGAGGCTTCTGCTGCTAGTGGGAGCTGTCGGGTGGTCACTGTGTAAGGGCATACACCCTGACATCCTGCTGACATTCACCAGCCCCTCAGGGTGGCCGTGTCCCTATGGCTGAGCTGGATGAGATCTGATGCCCCTTCTTTTCCTGCCTGCCATGACTCTGATGATATAAGAGATCAATAAAAGGGAGGTGGTGACTGCCCATCTCCTGCCCAACTCAATCACAAGGGGCTGCCCCGCACCCCAGGGCCCAAATCTGAGAGTGAAGGAAGGACCAGCTCGGAGCCAACTTTCTAATTCCCTCTTCTCCTTTTTAATAAAAAGAAGTCCTTGACCTTTGGCCTTCTCTTCCTCCGGGGTCTTTAAGGTCTGGTGCTCTCTTGCCTGGGGCTGCTACCCCAGACTCTTCTGCAATCTGCTTTCCCCACCTGGGTCTCTTCCCCGGGACTTTCAAATTGCGCTGCAGGGAGCCTGATTACCGGCAAGTGCCACTCAAGCAGCAGGGGATTCTCTCAGACGTAATCAGCTGGAGCGGACACAGTCTTCACGGCTCAGGTTCTTGCATGCCCAGCTTCAGCTATGAAGGCTTCTGGGAGGGGGGCCCCTGCTCCCTTTTTCCCTTGGGCAGGTGACTGGCCTCGGTCCAGACTCTCTGATGGCCAGGGAACATCCATGGGAGGTGAAAAGAAAAAGAGAGGAAAAAACCACACCACAGGGGGTGGTACAGGCAGATCCCCTGCTTCTGCTGCTCCTAGGGGCTATCCCCAGATTCCCCTCTGGTGCCTGACCTCTTCCATCCTCTGCTTCACTCCTGAGGTGAGGGTGCCACCGGCTCTTCAGCCTTAGCCCAGCAGCTTATCCGTCCTTCAGGTTCCTTGGCTACTTTCCCCTGCTCCTTCGACCCTCCTCTGGGTCTGCCCCAGCCTCTGGATATAGCCTGCACCGCGGATTGGCCCCAATTCGCTTCACCTGATGCGTAGGTAAAGCTGCACTAGTGCAGATCAGGAGCTCTCGCTGTAGAATAGACATTGACGCGTGAGGTCTTTCATGTCCCTGGCCGGGGATATGCCCCCAGTGAGTGCCCTCCTGGGCTCTCACAGAAGCAATGATATGGGAGCAGTGTCTGTACCTGCCCCACATCCACCAGCACCAGCAATAATAATATCCACCAGCATAACAAGTACCAGCATGACAGTCACCTCCACCCCAATTTCAGTTCCCAGCCTGAGCCTTCCAGTGCCAGAAGAAGAGCTGGATCTGGAAGCAGCAGAGCTGAGAGCCATAGCCAGGGAAGTTCTGGGGAGGAGGAAGAATCTGAGCTTGTGCTCCACTCCCCTCAAAGTTCCCGTAGAGCCAGGTCTCCTTCTCCAGAAGGCACTGCAGAGGAGGTTGTGGGGGCAGGTGGCTCAGCTTTCCCTGTCATTGCACCTCTCCCTGCTGAGGAGGGGGATAAGGCAGGAACCACATCCACACCTGCACCCACACCCACACCCCAGAAGTGAGGGGGTAAAGTAGTGTGGGATCATTCTGAGGTGGCAGATGATCCCACATGTGCTATCTGCCTGCACTGCCAATGCAAGACCAGCTGGAGCAAGGAGGTGAAACACTTCACCACCACGGGGGTGCTGATGCATCTCAGGAGGCACCACCCCTTGTCTTTGCTCCTCAGCCTGGCACCAGTGCGAGCGTGCCCAAAGAGAAGTCCCCCTCTTGCTCCAAAGCCCCCATCCCCTAGAAGCAGAGGCAGGCTACCCTGGACCAGTGGGGGAAAGGCAGGGACAAAGGGGGGCACATTTCAAAGGCGAGTGAGGTCACCCAGAGCATTGGGGAGATGCTTGTTCTGGATGGCCAGCCCTTCTCCTTAGTTGAGCAGCCAGGGTTCAGGTGGCTCATGGTGCTCATGGCCCCATCCTACCAAGTGCCTGCATGCACCACCTTCAGCAGGACAGTGGTGCCCTCCCTGTCTGAGGTATTCAGGGAGTACCTGAGGGAAAAGCTGCATAAGGCAGGTCTGCAGGCGGCTTTATACTTCACCTCGGACAGCTGGAGCAATCAGGATGGAGATCATGCCTACCTCTCCCTCACAGGGCACTGGTGCGATCAGTCAGGCCAGCAGTGGGCTGTCCTTCAAGCAGAGGTGATGGATGAGTCCCACACAGCAACAGAGATCATGGGGTCCATGAGCCACACGGTGCAGGGATGGCTCATTGGGCAGGGCGAGCGCAACCATGGGTTCATGGTCACTGATAACGGGGCCAATATTGTCAAGGCAGTGCGTGATGCCAGCTTTGTTAGCATCTGTTGTGTGGCACACAAGTTCCACCTCGTAGTCAGGGTCACCTATGCACTTCACTTCATCAACCTTCTGGATACAAAAACTCATGGACTCAATATAGACATTGAATTTATGACACACACACCTGCCTGACATCTGACTCCCCAGGTACCTCTCCACTTTTACCTGCTACACCCCCCTCCCCCCCCCGCCAGCCTGTCCCTCACCCCCTGACACCTCAGTGTACCTCAGTTTACATTTTCACTGACTTTCTTGCATGCATACCAGCCTCTGGCTTCTTCGCTATTCATTCCATCCGGGAAGAGTGCAGACACACCAACTGCAAATACTTCCTCAAACTGATGAAGATTTTTTAAACCCAAAAGCTTGCTAAGATATATTTCTCCAACTATTCAGTTGGTTTAATAAAAGATATCAGAAGTACCCTCGATTGGTCCGTGCTGGGGCCAGGACCCAAAGGGCCAGGGGCCCACCTCAAGGAATTCCTAGAGCAAGAGGCTCAGGATTCCAACTGGCCTGAAGGTGGGGCCAGGGCCTAAAGGGGAGCCAAAGGTCCCAGAAAGGGGACCACAGCTGGAGGGGATGAAGGATGCAATCTGCGAGGCATTGGCCACAGTGTAGGGAAGGTACAGAGTTTCAGAATGGATGTCACCCCAAGTCACCTAAACCTGGGAAACATCTGAATCAGTTTTTCATCAAGGCATGGCAGGAAAAAGAGGGGCAGGTGGTTGGTCCAGAAACAGGTGGGTGGACGGAGATCTAACCAGCATCAGGAAGACCCCTGTTACACGCTACCATCCCTGCTGGTTTCATCCCGCTCTGCCTATACACACACAAGTGACACAAGTTTTGTTTTCAGAAGATTGAAGTGCAGTTTCACAGAAACCCCTGTACCTATCCCCTTGAAATCTGGCAGGTTTCATGGCCTCAGAAGGGGCTACCATGCCTGCTGTTTCCATCCTGCTCTGCCTTAACACACACACAAAGTCACCCGTCACGAGTTTTGCTTTGAACAGTTTGAGGTACAGTTTCACAAAAAAGCTTGCACCTATTTCCTTGAAATGTGGCAGGCTTCATGCCCTCAGAAGTGACTACCATTCCTGAAATTTTCATCTGAATCAGGCAAGAAATGGCAAAGTTATAGGTGTTTAGGGATTCACTATTATAGCTTATGGCCGCTATGAAATAGCGTCAGAACACTGAAACAGATTCGGCTGAATCAAAATGGAACAATGATTCAAAACACTGAAATGAATTACTGTCCCTCCAAAATGGCTGAATCCAAAACTGAAGCGAACAAAGCTGTTTTGCATAGCCTTACTGAGCAGTAGTACCGATTAACATCTTTTTTGTGACATCAGTGTGCAGTAGCGTAGTGCTACTGTTCATTAGTGTCATGGCACAGTTGTCGCCACGTGATGCTACTGTGCAGTCAGCATCTTGTATAGATGTGGCCACTGAAATCTCCTTCTCCTAAAGTTTTGCATGTCTGGATCATCCATACTGCATATCATGTACTGGCAACTAATTGTAGAACTGCTTTTGAAATACTGATGAAACTAAGGGGTCTGTGAATGGGCACCTTCATGAGGAATAAAATGCAGATTACTAACATAGCGAACACTAGGCTTCTGGCCCTCATATATGCTATAACCAGGTCCTTGAGCAAGACAACCTCTGTGTGCACCAGGCTGTGTCCCCCACAGCAGGCAGGGGCTGGGAAGGTATACCTTCTTCTCACTGTGTATATGCGTGTCATTTGCAGTGGGACTCCAAAAGCCTTGTCATGGGCTCACTATGGGCAGGGGTCTGGTCCGATCCTGCTGGATGAAGTGGAGTGCTCAGGGAATGAGTTCTCACTGGACCAGTGCAAGAAGAATGACTGGGGACAGCAAAATTGTGACCACATTGAGGATGCGGGGGTGTCCTGTGATCCCTTCACAGGTACAGACTCATCCCTCCTCCCCATATGCTGCCTATCCCAACCCGTTTTCCACAAGCCTCTCCTCAAGTGTAGCCTATTTTACCTCCTCTGGTTTCTCACAACCCCTGGGTGTGCAGCTCTTTCATGGCACACTGTTTGGGGGCAGGGAGCAAGGCACAGGTAAAAAGGATTCAACACCAGACTAGGTAGCTTCCCTGCTGCCTTGCATTGGTGCAGCCAGAGACCACTGTGAGCTCTAGGCCAGGGGTGGCCAGAGTTACCCTGGGAGCCACATCCGATCCTCCACTGAAGTTCAAGAGCCGGAGAGTCTGGGGTGGGAGGGGTGCTGAGCAACCTAGAGTAGAGGTGACAAACCCCTCCTCCCCCACACTGCTTTCCCCGCAAGGAGCACGCCCCAGGGTAAGCGGTGTGGCTGCAGCCCCCAGCCTGGCACCTCAGCTGGCAGTCCCAGAGGGAGAGAAGGAGGTAGGAGGGTGGGCTCAGGGCACACTCCCTGCGGGGAAAGCTGGAGCAGTGGGAGGTGCTGGGCTGCACTGTCCCCCAGAGCTGCCTCAGGGAGAAGTGGGTGGGGCTTTGGCCAATTTCCAGAGAGTTGCAAGTACCGTGCTAGTGAGCCGCATGCGGGTCTTGAGCCACGGTTTGGTAACCATGGCTCTAGACTCTCATTTGTAGGTGGACATGTCTGTGAAGCTAGTGTGTAGAAGTGGTGGGGTCTTTGTCTGCTGAACCCCTTCCCCCCACCCCTCCCTCCAACGCACACATGCTGTAGGCTGTATACAGACTTCAGCATGTAGAATGAGAAGGGACAGCTTGGCTCCCATGCTAACTGCTTTCCTCCCCCACCCCTTGCAGAAGGCACTGTCAGACTGACAGGAGGCAACACCCCCAGTGAAGGAAGGGTGGAGGTTTATTACAATGGAGACTGGGGCACCGTGTGTGATGATGGCTGGACAGACTTCAATGCCCAGGTGGTTTGCAGGCAGCTTGGCTTCAGGTACTGAAATGACGGTATTTCTACAAGGAGACTCTGTTCCCTGTTGTCCAGGTCTCAGCTTCACGTTTGCTTGCTGAGAAAGCTGAGCTTTGCCCTCTCCAGCATGGTCTTTGTTAGAGGACCGATTATTGCAGGGATAGGCTATTATTTTGGGTGGAGGGCCGCTTACCGAGTTTTGGCAAGCTGTTAAGGGCCGCATGGGTAGGCCCATCCCTTGACAGGGGCCCCACCCCCTGGCTGCAATCTTGGGACTGGAAGTCCCGCTCCCAACCTCTGACCTTTGCCACTGGAAGTCTCCCCTCTTGCCCCTAGAAATAATTCTTTGGGGAAGAAGGTTTGCCATCTTGGAACGGGGGGAAAAAAACAAGTGATATATTAACAATCAAACACCCACAGTAATATATTTTAATTAATTAAAAACAATTGTTCTGTTTAATGTGTGTTTGTGCTGTATATGTAGAAATGACTGCATAATAGCTCAAAATGCAAGCTTACTCTTGTATAGTGTGTGGGTTGTGCAGAGGTGTCAGAGGGGTTTGCGGGGGTTGTAGGGCTGTGTGTGGGCAGAGCTGACCTGAGCAGGGTGTGGGGCCCCCTGATCCTGTGTGCCCTGGACATGAAGAAGCTGCTGCTGCCAAGTGAAGAACCTGCTGCT